GCAGGGGGAGATGGGGATGCAGGCGGAGATGGACCGGGCTGGGGATGCAGGGGGAGATGGGGATGCAGGGGGAGATGGGGATGCAGGGGGATGCAGAAGGGTGCTGGAGGGTAAAGGAGCAGGTGGAAGAGCGTGGGGAAGCAGGGGATGGGGATGGGTGCAGGGGAGATGAGGTGCACAGCTGGGTTGACCAAACAGGTCCAGTGACATCCCATGGGTGAGAGGAATGACTGAGGAGGAGGTCGTGGGAATAGAAGATGGGGCTGCTCTGGGGACAAGGGCACAGGGGGCTGCRGGCTGGAGAGTGCCAGGACAGACATAAGGCGGCACCTTGATGGGGCCAGAAACCCCCAGTGCTTCTTGTGGCATCGGTGATGCAARTAACAAGCAGTGACCATTGCTGAGAGGAGCCGTGGGGCCAGTGCCGGTGAAGTGACGGGGACACGCAGACCTGCAGCTAGGGCCACACGAGCCAGTCGGAGGGCCCAGGTGTCCCCCCCACCGCCGTGGGTCACTCCTGCCTCTTCCCACGGCCCCAGGCATCCCTCAGGGAAGGGGGACCCTCATGTATCTTGCGGGAAGGTCCAGTAGATGCTGGGGGGAGCTGCTCTYATCCCGCAGCCGCTGGGGGGCCAGGGCAGAGATGCTGCTTTAATGGCATTCGTCTGTGTTTACAACATGAGTAATCCGGCTAAGCAGCCATAAATCAGCCCCCCAGCTCCTCAGCATTGTCCCCCCAGTGCTGGAGGAGGGCCTGGCTCCTGCTGAAACAGCCTCATAAATAACAGCAGCAAAATAAACCCTCTCGTAGCCACGCAGGGCCCGCACGAGATGGACGCCCCCCATCCATCAGTTTAATGGTTGTACTCTGCAAATTAAACCTGTCAYGGCCCATCAAGGTGGATGTTTTAAAACCCTGACGCCCCTGCAGCTCCCCGCCTCCTTCCCGGCAGCTCCTCTGCTCTCCCTGCTCTCCCAGTCCCGCTGCCCTCCCGCCGGTCCCTGCTGCTGCAAGGTCGAATTGGACACTGGATGGGGGATATATGTGATGCCGAGCTCCTGCAGCCACAGGATGGCATCTGCCACCGTCTCAGGAGGCCCGAGCACCTGCAATGGGTCCCTCCTGCCCTGCTGTCCCTGCAGGCAATGGGATGTCCCCTCTGTGCCCTCATTTATACCTCTGCTGCTCTGTGCTGCACTGCAGCCTCCTGGCACCTCCACCCTGGGCACCTGCACCCCGAGGATGTCCTGCAGCCGGGYGAAGCTGCTGAGCTGCCCGCAGCCACTGCGGGTCACTGTGAGCCCACRCAGGACGTCACCAGCATCCTCACCACAGGGACAGCCTGTCCCCAAAGCGGGGACCTGTGGGGAGAAGCCAGGGCTCTTGGAGGTGGCACAGTGGCCATGTGAGCCCAGATAGAGCAAGCCGGGCCCTGGGCAGCCTGAGGGTTGAGCCCAGCAAGGTGCTGAGAGGAGTCGAAGAGTCCTAAGGGAGCAGGAGCTGGTCAGGGCACTGATCCCCACCAAGCACCACCTGAATCCACTTGGGGGGATGCCCCACTGCTGCAGCCAGGCTGCCCGCCCTGCTGCAGGGCGCTCCGCAAGCTCGTTAGCCCGTTAGCTAATGAGCTCCCCTTGCAACCCCACAGCCTCCGACCCATTCCCTGCTGGCGCAGGCTGGGCAGTGCTCCCGCTGTGGGGCAGAGGGACTGCACAAGGAGCAGCAGGTGAAGACACGGGTGCTCATGGGTGCTAGGGGTGCCTGTCACACCACCAGGTTCGGTGACTCCCCCTCCCCAGCTCCGAGGCAGCACAGCAGCATGCAGGGATGCGCCATGGACATCTCCTGGCTGCCTGCATCCCTGCGGAATGCAGGAGTCGCCAGGGAAGGGCTGGCACGCATCCAGCAGCATCCTCCCTCCCGTCCCTCCTGCCTTGGGGGGCTCAGCCTGCCCGGGCCCAGCACAGTCACCCCTGCAGGAAAGGGGAATGTGTGGCCAAAGGCAGGTCTGCAGAGCCCACCCTGCCCCCGGGCATCGAGGTGGCAGGGCCAGCTGGAGCCTCCTGGCCCCTAAGCAAGAGCACAGGCATCCAGATAACAGCTTTATAGGGGAGGCACGTGGGCTCTCCCCCAGATACACACAGAGGAATAATTACGAGTTAAATAGGATCCAAACACACATAAGTTAGAGGGAGTGGGGTGGAGGCAGGCACCCTGGCGCAGTCCATGTCTGCCGGCAAGGGGCTCCCCGTCACATCCACCCGGCCCCGCTCCGGCCGCCGTTCACAACACGGAGCCGATCTTCGCCTCGGCGGCGCCCATCTCCTCCTCCTCCTCTTCCTCGTCCTCCTCGCCGCCCGAGCAGGAGGAGTCGGGGCTGTAGCGCAGCTCGGCGCCGCCGCAGCGCAGGAAGCCGGGGCAGGCGCTGCGCCCCACGAACGCGGGGCCCTCGCCCGCCTGGCCCCGCGCCTCCACGGGCAGCAGCTTCTCGCAGCCCTTGCCGAGCCCCCGCTGCTTCTCGGCCTCCGCTTGTGCCACCTGCTCCTTGGCCTTGCGGCTCCGCTTCCACTTCATGCGGCGGTTCTGGAACCAGATCTTCACCTGTCGAAGGAGAGCCCCGGGAGGAGAGTGGCCACAGCGGAGGTGCCCAGTGCAGCTGGAGGGACCATGGCACCCAGGAGCAGCTGTGCTGGACCTCAGCAACCACACGGAGATGGAGCAGTGGTGCCAAGGGAGGAGTGTGTGCCCTCCATCCCCATCCTGTCTGCCCCAGCCTCCCCTGCACCACGGAGCCCCTCACAGCTGCTTGCTGCAGGCAGCCCCGCAGTGCCAGGCGTGCGTGCAAGGAGGCTGAGGACACCACGAGGAGATGCATCCCGAGGGGCTGCTCCCTTGCTCCTGCCCAACCTTGCTGCTGGAGTGGGCAAGAGGACCAGCAGCTGCCCARGATGACAAAGGACTTGAGTGGGGGTCATCAGAAGAGGGACACTAGCTCTAACACGAGTTCCCTCCCACAGTGCAGAGTAGAACAGGACAGGGGGGCTCCTAACAAAGTCTGGGGGCACCAAGGAGCGGAGCAAGTTTCCTGGGGTTTCCTTGCAAGCCAGGGGTAGGTTGATCCCTGGGAAGCACTGCCAGCAAAGGCGTAAGGTGAGGATGGAGTAGAACCAGGAGGATCTGCCTTTGGCCCCTTACTGCCCAGCTCAGGCCCCACCTCCCCAGCAGCCAACCGGTGCCATCCTCCGCCACCCCAGSTGCCAGCTACCTGCGTCTCGGTGAGCATCAGCGACGTGGCCACCTCGAAGCGCTTGGGCCGGGACAGGTACTTGTTGAGCTTGAACTGGTTCTCCAGCTCCAGGAGCTGCTGGCTGGTGAAGGCCGTGCGCGGCCGGCGGCATTTCCCCATCAAGCCGGACTGCGGGGCGGCTGCAGGGCAGGCAGGCGGGTCAGGCAGAGCGGGACCCCCGCGGCAGACCCCGGCCCAGGAGGGAGGCGAGCATCGCCTCCGCCGCCTCCTGCCCCACGGATGGCTTTATTGCCCGGCTGATAGGAACCAGCGAGATACGTTATCAGGCCTCGGTGTGCAACTGGGATCAGTCCTGTGACTGAAATTAAATCTCTTTTTATTGCCGGGACGCGCAGGTGGCTGCCCAACTGCCAAGGTCTGCGGCAGCAGGAGCCCCGCTCGCGGCTCCTATCGCGCCCGCAGCCCTTGAAGGCAGCACGAACAAAGGGGCCTTTGAGAGCCCGGCGCGGGTGGCTCTCACACCGTGTTTGATCCCCGCTTATCTGCCCTCCGCTGCCTTTATTGTTCCCCCGCAGCTCCTCTTTTCCTGCTTCCCCCCTCGCCRCAGCAGCGATCCGGCCCAGCGGTTTGCAGCTGGGTGTAAAGTGCGGCAGCACTGCAGGGCACTGCCTGGAAAAGTCCCGGGCACCCGAGCTGCCCAGAAACCCTTACCTGGCTCCTCAGCGGCCACCTCGGATGTGGGCATCAGCCCAAAGCTGGAGCAGGGAATTCCCTGACCTGTGTGCAAGTGCAGGGAGGGACTGATGTGCTGGAGCACCAAGGCAGAGCTGCGTGGGGTGAGRCAGCTACGCTGCTGCCCCCCTGGACCAGGAATCATTTCCGAGGAGCTTCTGGTTCCACACAGGGCTTTCAGACAGCCCCCAGCTCACCCGGTCCCTGCAACACCCAGCTCAATGGGGCAGGTGAGGGTCRCTCCCGCTCGCCCTCTCTGTGAGGGCACCATCCTCTTAATCTCCCTTGGATTCCAGCTTTGATCCTGGCCTGCCCATCTCCTGGAGGTGCCTGCTGAGCCCTTCACAAACACGGCGGTGACGCATCACGCAGGAATTTATGAAGGGGACATTAACTGAACGTGGTGCAGGTTTGATCCCCRGTCTGTGTATCCTGGGTGGAACGGGTCAAACAGGCAGCACTCAGGCTGGGCCGAGGCTCTGCAAACTCCTCATGAAAATGGGGCTGGACACAGCCCCTCCTGCCTCACAGGACACTGTGCAAGGAGAGCCCATCAGCCACCTGGGACCTGTCTGGCACATGGTGTTTAACAAGCCGCTGGCTTGTTAAATAGAGACTGAACACAGAAGCACTGCKCCAATGGGTCTAGCATGCAAAATGTGCCAATTTGGGAATCTAACATGCGTGCCCAGGAAACAATATTGCAGGATATTCAAGGCTAAAATCAAATGAGAGGCCCAAAACCTTGCTGGATAAATACAAATGCCAGGTAAAAGATGGCATCATCTCTGCAGAACCAAGCTGTTGTCCAGGTTCTCACTGGCCATGGATGGTGTTGGAGAATCAGAGCCTACAGATGCCTGCAGACCCCTCCTCCTGGCCCTTGCAGAGCTCCGCCTGTTTGTGCAGATTGCCAGCACATATACAGTGACCAACAGGACTTGAGAAGGATCCTTTCTGCTAAAAAAAACAAGGAAGTGACATGGAGATCAGCTCTATATGGGAACTAGCATCTGCAAGGAGAGCAGCCCAAGATAACGTCCATTCAATTAGTGGGAGAAACCCAGAGATGTCTCAGAACATACCAGCAGAGAAAGCCATTTATTTGCCTTCAGCAGGGAGAGCAGCACCCTCCAGGCTGTCTCCACAGGCTGTGGGAGCCAAGGGATCCCAGCTCCCACCAGCTCACGTCCAATGCTAGAGATGGAAGGGTGCATGGGGGCACCCAATGCTTCAGTCATCCTCATCCCCTGATCCCAGAGCTGGTTCGTACCGAAGGGCCACACCAGGCTGGGGAAAGGTGTCCCCTTGAGCAGGTCTCCTTCTGGGCATGGTCCATAGTAGTTGCTTAGGGAAAAGAGAGGTGAACAAAGCACACCCAGACCCCAGTACCTAGTCATCAGTGCAGGGCCCAGTCCCAGGGGAGCACAGAAATGGGCACGTGCCCTAGGGAACACAGAAATCCTCCAAAGAACCACAAAAGTCTCCTCTTGCCTCCTCCTGCAAGGCCAAATATAGCTGGACTMAGAACAGTTGTGGGAAGAGTGCAGCAGGGCAGGGGACAGCAATGAGTCTCCATCCCAAGAGCTGAGAGCTCAGTTGTCCCTCCTCAGAGGAGACTGAAAGGCAGTTTCCTTCACTGACAGCYCCTCCAGGGAGGCAGTCTCCTCCAGGCAGGATGCTGAAGACTCCCTGGACTAGCAGGGAAAAGAAGAACACGAGGTGCTGCCCAAAAGCCTGATAAACCAAAATGGGAAGCAGCCCAAATTGTTACTGGTGCTGAGTGCTGCAGCAAGGTCCAGCCAGTGCCAGCTTCATCAGCTGTGTCCCCAGTTAAGACTGAGGCTCAGCACAGTGATGCCCATTACAGACCATCACTTCTCTAGAAACTCACACTTCCTCTCATTCCAGGGCTAGCAAAAAAACAACAAATCAACAAATAAACAAATAAAAAAAAAATAAAGAAAAAACTCCAACCCTGAAATCTCTCTGATGGTGCTGATGCTCAGTTCAGRCCACCTCCAGTCCAGCCCTGGTGTATACACAGGTATAACTGGCCAAGGAACCTGCATCCTCTTCTGAAAAATGCACCCTCTGTGCCTYGGTATCTGCCGTTATCCATCACTCCTGCTCCTCACCTGGTGTGCCCAGACTGCAAACGCCTCGGCCTTCAGACCTGCTGGCAGCTTTTGCAGAGGGGTCCTGGCTCCTTTGGGCAGGGAGGGTGTGTGGGTGGAAAGGGTTTCGTTTCTGACTGATGCAGGAGCAAAGAGAGGATGTAGGAACCTGAATACCTGAGACAGGTTTCCAGTGCAAACAGTAATGATGCCTTGTGGCTACTGGCGGCTTCCTCCTTTCCCATCAGTGTGCTTGGTGGAGTTCTGCCCTCCTCTGTCACCATGGCTGTCCCTCATATCGTACAGACATCCTCCCAAAGGACACAGAGAAGCCTCCTGCAATGGTCCTCCTCCTGCTGCTCTGTGCCAGCCGAGCTATGAACCCATTTCTACCACAACCAACATCCCAGAGGAAAGAACCTTTCAGGAAGCGCCTTCCCTTTTCCAGGTCCCATCGGGAGAACAAGGACTGCCTTGCAGCATCACAGCTCTGCTTGAGGACTGGCTTCCAGCTGCCCACCTAGTGCCACATTTGAGATCTGAGATGTTGTCTGACATCCCTTCAGCCTGGCAGGACTTCGACCTTCTCGTGGGTACCCAGCATTTTGCTGCAGTGTCAGTAAAKAAATTGACTGGCCTGGAGTCAGGAATCCCCTTCAAGTCTGAGGCCCTGGGCACTACAGGACAGCTGCTTCCCAGATAATTAGAYAAAGCTTATAAACAATTACTGGTTTAATTGATACGGTCCTGTCTACTTGATAACGAGGCTAATCCATGTGTTGATATTAACCCGCTTGCTTTTAATTTGGTTTGCTTAGCCATAGTTCAGTTAACTTTGTGGCCTAGCAGATAAAGGAGAGGAAATTAACACCCTGCCTGCATCGGAGGTGTCTCTCCAGATGTCAGGGCTGGGAGGAGGGCACAGGGTCTCACCAGCACTTGGGCCATTACAAGGCTTATCTTGGCCTGCTGGACATCCGGACCATTCTCCATATGGACAAGCACACATAAGGGCGCTTCCTACYTCTGGTAGCCTCTTGGTTGCTCCACCACGGGCTCAGGAGAGGTCCCCAGCAGCCCAGGGGGAACATGCCCGCTGGGTGATCTCTCCTCCTGCACCCTCCCTCGGACCCTGCAGCCCAGCTCTGATGACAGGAGGCCAAGTTCATTTTCTAAGCAGAACACGAGGCAATACTCAGCTCGGCCGGGTTAGCAGTGCAGGGAGCTGTTCTGCCGACGTTGCACAGCTTGGAGAGCCAAGCCTCCTGCCTGGGGGAGAGCAGGAACACATTTGGTATGCATTATCCGCAGCCAAGCTGCATCACCCAGTCCATCACCCTGGCCCAGCAGAGCCCAGCAGCAAACTCATCCTCACAGTGTGATGGTCCCTTCTAAGAGGGCACCCCTCTGATCTCCATCACGGCAACAGGAAGGGTGCACATGCAGGCAGTATTTCAGGGAGACAGCTGAGCCCTAAGTCCCCATTGGGGAACCATTCACACCTTCCTACATCCCACACCCTGCACCTGCATCTCACCCCTCTCTGCTCCTACAAGTCTCAGCCATGGCAGATCTCTGTCCTTGGCTCCCACCACAACACTGCATTTCTAGTCCATTTCCAGCGCTAACCAGCACAAATAAATCGCAGCGCTGAGTGCTCCCCACATATGGTCCAGAAGGTAGCAAGCCCTGCTCAGAAGCAGAGGAGCCCTAGGTCCCTCRGTGGGTTTCCCCAGCAGCAGCGAGGCACGCTTTGCAGCAGCACCCTGGCTTCRCGCCCAGCCCTTCTGCTCTGCATTGCAGCAGATGCACCCAGGCCTTTGCTGCCGCTCAGTTAAGCRCCTGCGCTGGCAAGAGCAGGGCAAGTGTGTGCAACACATCCCCCCGGAGCTCGCTGTTTCAGTCCAGGGGGTTTCTTCCTCATTCTGACTGTCCCCAAGAGAGCAAACACACCATGCTTGCAAAAAYATCTCCACATAAGCAGTTGAAAAAACAGTTCTTAATTTTTGTCCTGGTACCTCCCATGGATAAGCCTAAGGGTGATCTCCCTCTGGGATTCCTCAGAATGTGTCCCGGGAGGTGAATCGTGGGTTTCTAGATGTTTTTGTCACAGGTGTCTACCTACTGCTATCCAGCGAGCTGACAGGGTCAGCACACGGCAGTATGGAAACTGAGCACCGATGTGCTCAGTCACAGCGGACACCTCAGCCAGGTAGGTCCATCCACCCGAGGAAGGTGAAGGGACAGGACAGGCAGGGACTCCAGGCAGCCTTATAGTGAGTTGCTCCTGCTCAGCCGTGCCCTAGGCAGGCACAAAGCCCCATCCTGCAGGGACAGCAGCAGCCGCACGCTGTGCCCATCTCTGTGTGCTGACCAGCACAACGGGAAAATACGAGCCCAGACACAGCCAGAGCTTGCAGTTAGGTCCGGTCCCAGTGGCTACAGGGCATAGGCAAGCTGGAGAGACACCTGCGATTGAAGCTTGCTGCAAGCCCCCAGCAGACAAGGCTGCAGACAGTTGGGAACCTAAAGGAACCTGATAGATAGAAGCAAATGTCTGAAAAGAAACAAGATAGGATTAAATAAGGATCAGGATATACATCAGCAATGTTTGCAACAGGACACAGGGACAAGAGGGGTAGGAATGCTAGAAGAATGGACACAGAAAGGAGCTTTGCAAGAGTCTCCTAGGTCAGAAGCAATATTTATGTGGAAGCTTCAGGCAAGGGAGCAGCTACCAATTCATAGCACCTGCTCCAGTAAGGCTGTGGCTGGAGTTCTGCATCTGACATTGGCCTTTAAAGCCTATAGGATGTAAATCTATCTTGGAGGAGTTGGCTGGACTATCCAGAGGGATGAGAGGAAGGCTGGAAAGGAGCTGCAGACCCTCAACATGTGCATGTCAAGCAAGAATAGAGAAAGATTTGCTGTGTTCAGGGTGAGAAATACTGCTGCCCAGCTCATTGCTGCTCAGTGCTTTCACGAGGCTCGTGGGCACATTGTTCCCACACATCCTGGAACAGGCAGAATAGTCCTTCCACCAATCATTCTCATGCCATGATTTAGGGTCTGTCTCCTTGCAGCCAGGTTTTGGAGACAAGTGCTGGAGCTGATCCTGCACTTGAAGTACAAATATCCCTACCTTACTCCAGGCAGAAATTCAGCTCAGAGTATGGGGCAGGTGCAGTGCTGTGGTCGCATCCTTATAAAACACTCCAGCAAAAAGATACCTGCATGCTGAGACACCTCAACAGACCCTGTGAGGAGAGTAAGGCCTTGATTCACCTTTGCAGAGGGACAGGCGGGTGTTTTGCTACCCAGCAAAGAGCCATATTTTCTCCTGCTCTCACTGACAAACTTGCAGGGCGCAAACAGAGCCCCTCGGTGCTGGGGACATATACTGTGCCCACAGGCACTAGCAGCATTTCACAGCAGCATCTATCCCACAGCCCATAGCAAAGCCAAGGAAAAGGGATAGCAGCCTAGAAAAGGGAACAGTCTTTTTTCTTCATCTGGTGCAATGTAAGAAAGGAGCAATGAATCAAATATTTCATGTAAATTGTCCATTTTTGCACTATTATTCTTCTGGCCAGTTTATTAATTAGCCACCTTATCCAGTCATATTTTTTGTAAATGGGCTCCCAGGTTATTAAAACACTAAATGTAGCTAATAAATCCGGACTCTCCAGCAGCGACTTATCAACACATCACCCATCTTTGCAGCGACCAGAGCACCGTTCACTGCAGCCCCAGGCAAGCGCAGGGCAGCGTGTGCTCTGTGGGTCCCCCGGGCAGGGTCCAGGCTCCAGTTCGGGACAGGTCGCTGGTACCAACCGCACGGACCGGACCCAAAGGGCTCCTCGGAGCCCACGAGCCGAGCGGCTGGGACCCCCAGCCCTTCCCCGGTGCGGATCCGATCCCTCCTTCCCTCCCTGCCGTCCCCGCCGGGGGAGCCGGACCCCTTCGTTCCCAATGGCACCGAGCGGGTTTTATTCGTTTCCTGGAGCTGAGTTCGCCGACTACCCCTTTATTTTCGTTTTCTTCCCGCACCGGCGAACCCAACGAACTCGGAGCGGCGGCGGGGCAGCGGCTCTGCGCTCCCCAGCCCGGGAGGGGACATATCCCTCGGTGCAGTCCCGCAGCATCACCCACGCCCGGAACGRGCAAGGATGTGGGGTCCGCGGGACCGTCGCCTTGCGGCTCGGGCTCCCGGAGTCGCTGCAGCCCACAGACTCTCCCGGGACGGGGATTTGCACTTTGGGAATCGCCGAGGGGCTGCCGAGGCTCGGAAAACAGGGGCGAGATGCGAGGCCGTTAAGAGCTCGAGGTGGAACCCCAATAGCAGCCCGAGCAGCGGGACGCAGCGAGCCCCGCATGGGGGGCAGGCCTAAGTGTTCGCCCCGACCCCCACGGTCCTGGTCGTGCCCCGAAGGGGCAGCCCCGGAGCGCCTCAAACCCTCGCTCCAGCCCCAAGGGGACCCCCGGCCCGAGTGCGCAGGGACCGSTCAACTGCAACGAGGGGCAGAGCCGCCGGGAGCCGGGGGTGGCCAGGAGGCGAGCGCGGCGTCCCGCCCGACGGGGCCCTCCGTCCCGCTCCCGACGCACTCACCGTGGAAGTCGGAGAGCCTCGGTACCAACACCCCGGCTCGGATCCAGTGCTCCAGCGGGAAAGAACTGGCCACGGCCGCCTTCAGATGCTCCGAACCAGGCGGCGGCAGGTGGGGGAAGCTGGTGTAGGCGAAAGTTGGGTGCTGGCCCCCCAGGGCCGGGAGTGGGTACACGGCGGGTGGATAGAGGGCCGGCAGGGAGCCGAGTCCAGGGCCAGGCAGGTGCAACAAGCCGGGCTTGGGGACGAAGCCGGCCGGGGCCAGCGGCGTGGCTCCCCGGGGCGCCCGCGGAGAGGGGGTCTCGGTGCGCCCGGCGGGGCCGGGGCTCCCCGCGGGGCTCCCGGGGCTCAGTCCCGGCGGAGAGGCGCTCCGGGACGGCTCTTCAGCCAGGAGCGCCTCGATGCGAAAGTTTTGGGACTTCTCCATGGGCTTGTGCATGGTCCGGCCCCGCGCGGAGCAGCCGGTGCTCCCAGGCGCGGCACGACACGGTTCGGCACGGCACGGTTCGGCACGGCACGGTTCGGCACGGCACGGTTCGGCACGGCACGGTTCGGCTCGCCCCGCCGCTCCCCTGCCAGGGCCGAGCCCGGCCGGGCAGCCCCGGGCCAGCCCCGCCGCCGGCACCGGCACCGGCTCCGGCACGGGCGGGCATCCACCCGCGGGGCCCGCCGCGCTCCGCGGCTGCCCTCGGGGCAGCTCCTCTCCGCTCCGCCTCCCACCACTCGCTCGCCCGCCGCCACCGGGGGGGTTTTAACCGCCCCGTCCACCTGCCCCAGCTCCCCATTGGCTCCACGACGGCCCCCCGCCCTGCCCGGCCCCCCTGCCGCCCCGGCCCGGGCTCCCGCCCCGGCTTCCTCATCCCCCAGCACCGTGGGACACGCCAGGCTCTGCCCCTTTCCCCCACTTTCATCCCAGCCCAGTCCTGGTCTGCACCCAAGGCCCCATCTCAGCACCCAGGACTTGGTGCCCACATCAGTGATTCCGTAGCCTTGATCCCCAGGCAGTCTTGCTTTACTTCGACGCTCACTGGGGAAGTTCTTCCACAACTGCATTCTCTGTAGGGGATATGGATCTGCATAGGCAGGGAGAGACTAGAAGGACTTTTATGTATACGTAAATATATATACTTGTGTGTGCGTGTGTGTACAAAGCCCTGATAAGGTGCAGGCCACTCGACTAGGAAGGCAGCAAGAGGAGCTTGCTCTCCTGCTGACTCCGCTGTACCACCATTCACTGGAACGYCCCAGCCAGGGCCAGTCACACTTTTCCCCATTACCCACTGCTGCAGAGGAGAGCAGCAAACCAGCTCTTTAGGAGGCAAGCAAGGCAGCCACTGTGGTCCTGTTGAGATATTAGAATGGGTCAGCAAGATCTCTCCTTTCTGTAAACGGGGAAGGGGGGAGAAATATGACATTGTGGACTGTGTGCATCTGACCACAGTGCACCTCTAGSGACATATCAAAGGCCACCAGCTAGAGAGCATGTGGTGGCCAAAGGGACCAGTCCTATGTGCTCACATCAAGGCTTGCCACAGTGGGTGCAAGGAGGAAGCAGGAACTTCCACAGTTCATTTTGTGGCCAGTGTTTTATTCAGGAAAAGAGAATATAATTACTTGTARATGCCCTGCTTTCAAGCTGCAAGTGGCCCAAAACACTAGGTCATATCCTTGGTCTCTTCAGGGAATACCCCTGCATTTCCCCAAATGACTCTCCAAGGACAAACAATTCCTTCCGAGATCAACAGCCCAGCACGATCCAGCCYATCCAGCCCCATTCACGTCAGCCACTGATCCCAGGGCAAAGAGAGCAGAAGCTGCCAAGCTAGTGCCATTGCAACGTGTAAGAAAGAACCAGTTCTTTGCAGACAGTACCCATAAAACCTGATTGGAAGCATCCCAATAAAGACATCTGGGAAGAGCATGGCACAGCTCCAGCCTGGGAGCAGAAATCCTCCCCCAGGCCGACAGAGATGAGCATTGCCCATGTTAATATGTCCCAAATGAGGCCTGCAGAACTCCAGCAAAAGGGTGTCCCTTCTTCCAGGAAAGTCAAGCCTAGATCCCAGGGCCCTTGTGAGCGTTTCCCAGGGATGGAGGAGGCAGATGCAGACCACATCGTGCAGAGAGGAGAGCTGGAGTCTCAGGCCCGTGCTCTGGCAAGACACACCAGGCAGAAGGGGCGGGATGCAGGCAGTGATAGATGCCAGGGTGCTGATGAGTTCACAGTCTTTGGGATCATTAATCAGATCAGAGCTGGATTAAGGTGTCCAAGGTCTGATTAGCTTCATTTCCCGCKTCAGGAAGGAGGAAACTTGCCTCCCCATACATCAGCCTCACTAGTGACAGCTCACCTGGTTGCTAACTAGATCAGAGGACTGTAACAAGTGAGTGCCCTCTGCCCAGGGCCTTCCCTCTTCGGGAGGGTCTTCATGCAGGATCTGAGGCAATCCTAAGCATCATCCATAGGCAGCAGGTTCCAGGATATCAGCTACAGGGACAGACCATTCCCATGGTCTGGCAATACAAGGCACTCTTCAGATGAGAGAACAAAAGTCTCTTGACCCAGGAAGCAAATCCAATTCAGAAGACTGAGCCTAAGGGATGATATTCTGGGAAAATAAACATATTGCCAATAGACCTAGCTGACAGGTAGCACCTTATCCATGCACAGCTCACCATGTGCTGTTACTCCAGGACCTCCTCTGTAGTATCAGACTCCCACCAAGGGGGACAGCTCTGTGAAAGAAGCATCAGACACTGCCTTGCTGCTGTAGAAGATCTCGGGAGTAACCAGGCAGATCTCCTGAGACCCATACAGGGCTACATGCACCAGCTCTAAAGCCCTGAACAAGCCAGGGCATTTCTCCCACCTGCAGCTCTCCAGCTGGTCAAGCCCACCCCGCTAGCACCTGCGGCTCCACTCCATGTGCCAACCCCTGCCTAAGAAATTCCATATTCGTGGGAAAAAATGATTCTGAAGGTGCTTCTCCTCTTAAACATCTCAGCTGCTCACACACAGGGAGGGCATCCCAGCCACATTCCCGGGAGGAGTGCTTTGCCCATGCAGCAGCAAGGTTTCTCAGCTCCATTGCCCCTTAGCAGGAATATTCATGCAGCCCACAATTTCCTAGGACTCGTTCATTTGGCAGATATTTTGTCTGGGATTTTATAGACATTCTGGACATTATAAAAAGACACCTCCTGTGGACATTCACAGCCCGCCCTTCTCTCAGCCTCCTAAAACCAGCAGGCATGGCAGCACTCGGTACAGGTTGTGGCTAAGCTGCAGAAAGTCTTTGCTGCAGTGAAGTGCCGGCTACATAAAAGCAGCTCCCTTTTTGCAGTGTTCATAATACCACATGGATTCTTTTCCATGCGCCTTCCATCCATGTGCAGCCAAACAGAAGGAAAAAAAAAATAGAAAAACAAGCACCCACACGAACACCACAAACTGCCAAATACGCCCAGTCTCGGTGCACACAATCCTGTGGATATCCATGATTTTGTATCCAACAGTTCTCATCCTTCACCAGACATGTGAGGTGTGGCCAGGGGGGTCACAGATAAGTATTTGGGGGCACAGTTCAGTTTTATAGCCCTGCCATTTCCTCAGTGTCACCTTGGGCAGCAACAAAACATCTCTCGGCAAATCCAACTGCCCCAAGATCAAAGCCAAGGGTGCCGAGGAAAATCCACGCTCCGATTAAAAGTTGCCAACCGGCATCAGATTTTCACTTTCCCAGGATCRAGCCCTTATCTCAGACATCAGATGAGACACAACACGCACTGGGGCTGTGCCTTGATTTCCAGCTAAGGTGCTGCTTGGCTGCGTGTAGACAAAAGGTTTAATATCAGGACCTTCTGGTGGGGCAGGGCACCTCTTGACCATAGTCAAGGTAAGTTGCTTTTAACATGGGTTTCTACAGGGATCAGTCCCAGAGAGGTGCCACGCACCCAGATTTCTGGTCTGTTGAGCTTAAAAGCTCAAGCTTTTAAGGCTTAGCTTACAGCCCCTCGGTGGGATGCTGCCCTTCTACCCTTGCAGCAGGGCTACCCGCTATCTCGGCAGTCTGGGAAGCCACAGGAGGCTGGTGGGGAAGGTAAATAAACTGCCAGCCCCACGGTGATTTGTGGCTAAATGAACAGTTGAGAAGTCACCTGTGAGAAGCTCCAGCCCGTTAACCAGCCAGATAATGGCTCGTAATGAGTCCTGCAGCGGTGGGAGCTGGGTCCAGCTTGTGTCATTGCTGGCACGGCCCAGCTCAGGGGTCCCAGGCTGCTCTCCCCTTGCAGATGCATAGATAGAGAYGGCATTTTGCCTTGCTGGCGTTTGGACCTCCCTCTCCAAGCATCAGTACCTGTCCTGGGCGAAGGAAAGGGTTAACAGGCAAAGCAAACACGGGGCATGGTGCCACCGGGGCAGAACTCCCATGGCTGTTTATTTAGCCAAGCAATTCCTCAAAGAAGCAGCCCCATCCCTAGTGGGACACAGTGAGGCTGAACAGAAGAATGTGTGAGCGGCTATGATCCCAGAGGAGGTGAAGGATGGAGGCCCAGCAGGGTAGTGTCCAGAGCAGAGCCAGGGCAGCACCCATCGTGCCCAGCAGACATCACAGAGGGCTGCGGCACCAGTGCCCAGCAGGCCAGGCCCRTGCAGTGACCAGGGACAGACAGGGCACTGCAGGACTCCCCTCTGTTGGCAGCTCCTGGCTCTCAGGACTGGTTTGGGCTCCTGGAGTGCAGCAACACCAGTGCTTGGACTTGGGCGAGAGCTGCGTGTGCAAAGCAAGGCTTAGAGACAGGGAGAAGGAGGAAGCTYGGGCACATTTCTTGCAGGAACATGGAAGGAGGCTGCTCCTCTTCCATTGCAATCCTTCTGTGAACCCTTTCTCTTAGGTGCTGAAACACTATGAGCTCACAATACCTGTCCCCAGGTCACCTCCAGCACAGTACTGCAAACAGGCTCTGTCAGGACCTGAGCTCAGYCTCACTGCCCATCTTAGTCCCAAGCACTGGCTCTGTAGGAAAAAGGCCAAACAACCATCACCTCCACAAGCACAGGAATGTTTAAGAAACCTAGGGAGTTTCTTAAGCCCAAGTGCATCACGGAGCACCCTCCTTGGACCTTCCTGTCWCCTAGGCCTCTGTCCTAGGGCACTCTGCCCTGCACCACAGCCCTGGGCATCCAGGGTGCACCTAGCCCACTGCACCCAGTACCCCCATCACTGTGTGACCCCTTCCCAAGCCTTTTCACACCATTTGCTTTTTCTTTGCTAAGTCTTGTCCCAAAGGCTCTTGCCTCTAAGGCCCAGGAGCCAGGGCTAGGCTCTAGGGCAGCACAGAGAAGGATAAAGTGACCCCCACCCCCAGCACAGCCTCACCTCTTCCCTGCTAATGGACTTTCCATGGAGTCAGCTCCTAACCTGCTCCCAGGGTGACTGGATAAATCAGCTGCTCCCCCCAAGACCTTGGGCTCTAATTAATGTCAGCTCATTAACGAGATAACAGCCATTTATTACCTTGTCTCCCTGGCTGCTGATTAACCCTTTCCCAAGGCATGGGGGCAACAATGCTGGGGGTCAGGGATGTGGGGATCTCTGCAGTGATATGTGGGGGTACCTCAGCAAGGGGATTTTCCCTCACCCAGCACCAGGGCACGGGAGGGCGGCACAGGAGCAAGAGGTGCTCCTTGGAAATGGGTGACATGAGTGCTGGCATCAGTAGAGCCCAAAGTAGCCCAATTGCCCAACCTGCACCAACCCGGAGCGGCGGGCAGCACGGTGCCCTCCCCAGGGAAGGAGGGAGCCCTTGGCTCGCCCTTGGCCTGGGCACCCCGGGCAGGGGCTGAGGCACCCGCTGCAGGCGCCCAGCGCCGGGCTGCTCCGCTCCCGCTCCATCAATCACTGCTCCGCGGCTCCCTGGGAGCGGGAGCAGCGGCTGGTTAATCAGGCTGAGGGCTTCGGCTCGTTAAGCTGACACCTTCGTTGGGAGAGTGAGACATGGGGGCACGCAAGGTGCCACTTATTTATTTTCTTCTTTCCCAGGGAATATATTAAACAAATTAAATTCCTGGAGTGTTGGGTCAGCAGAGCCGGCTCTGCGCCCGTCCCGCCTCCACGGAGCTCAGCCGCGGGGATGGGGCCGCCTTCCCCGGCCTGCTGYGAGCCCCCGGCACCCCCAGCCCCTTGTGATAAGATGCAGCCCTCCCTTTCCCCTCTGTTTCCCTCCACATCTCYCTCCCAGGGCACTGCCTGCAGCCTGCTTGGTGGTGCTGAGAGTGGTTAGGGTATGGAGAGGAGATCACACAGGAAACACAGGGTAGTGTCCCACAGGATGTGGGACAAGGAGGTGCACGTGGGGGCAGAGTGCCCAAAGTGTGTTTTGGGAGCGAGGGAAGGCTGTCTGCAGCTGGTGTCCTCAGAGGAGCACGGGGGTTTCCAGCAACCTGGAGCTGGGTGTGCAGAAAAACACTGCTCGGCCCCAAACTGCTCCTGCCCTGGGAGCTTTAACCACCACACAGGGCTGCGAGGACAAGGTCTCTGCWGAAACACCCCCGTGCACGGGGTCTGCACCTGCTTCAGGGTCAGGTGCCSCTTCAAAAGCCAGAAGCTGCCCCTGCTCGAATGCCCTGCAGGGCTCAAAGCCTTTCCCTTGCTGCCAGGACGCTCCGCTCCAGCCCAGAGCTGGCTGCGTTTCAGGGCTGATTAGGATGACAAGTATGGATTGGAGACTTGGCACAAAATTAGCCATTAATCCCCGTATCAGTCTGTTTATTGGCCATTTGCAGCTTTCCCTGCCACCACCACCTTTCTCTCCATCCCTCCAGCTCAGCCTCTCCCACTGCGCTGTCCCATCTCATCCCATGTTGTCATCCTCATTCCTTCACAAGAGTCCAATCCCACTTAGCCACAGCCCTTCAAGTGCCTCTTCGTTTCAGGATTGGGCCCCACCTTTCTGCTGGTGGAAGGGTGACTCCCTGGAGGTTAGCGAAGAATTAGAAATAATTTAATTTACCTCCCTGTTCGGGTGCTTTGATGAGCTGAAAGGCCCCTTGTCAGGCAGCGAATCCATCTTCCTCCAGCCTTACATCAAATTTCATTCACTAATTAGAAACTCCTGCCCCGGTGCGTGCCGCCCCCGCCGTGGCCGCCCCCTCTCCCCCCAGCACCATTATGAAAATAAATCGTTGCATTAAGCGCATTGTTGTGGCCGTGGGGCCCCGCCGTCCCAAGCTATTAGAGCAGGAGGGAGGCCGTTGGATTAAGAAGAATGATTTATTAAGGAAAAGGGCCCTGATTAGATTCTTAGCTGTCCCCTGCGTGCAGGCGCGCGCTCACGCCCTCGTCCCACTGCATCCTGACACAGAAGGTCACCATGGATGGTGGSTGGGGGGAAAACTGCATCCGCGGGGCTCTCCCAGACCTGTGTCCCGTTGGGTGCTCCTGCAGCGCTGGGATCCACAGCTCCTGGGATCTGGGAAGCTGTGCTGGAGTGCCCCCTGGCATCCCCATTCCTGGAACCGGGGTGCTCTCTCCRTTGGGGAGGCAGCAGGTGGACATGGATGCTCGGGCAGATCCTCTCTGTAGCTTTGCTGTCACTGTGGGCAAGGCCCTGCCTGTCCCCAGAGGGGAGCAGAGCCCCRGGGAGATGGGGACATCCCTGGGATATGGCACCTGGGATGGAAAATGAGTAAGAAGGAGGCAGGGACCATGATGCTGGGTGCCATGGCAGTCCTAACATCTCCCRGGGAAGCAGTACAGCCCCCGAAGCAGGAAGAGCTGAGCCCAGCTATGTGGCCTGGGGAAGCTGCAGGGAGCCCCTGCTGTGGGCACAGGGCTCCCCACACTGTCCCAATGCCAGAGAATAGCTGGGAGAGGGGCAGGAGCAGGGGCTCAGGGTGGAGGAGACCCTGGCRGAGCAGAGGACGGGATGCGCAGCCTGCTCCGCTCTCCCGTTGGGGCTCCCGCTGTCCCCAAGCAGCGCCCTGCCAGGCAYGGGATCCCCAGAGGGCTGCAGCCAGCAGGGTCCTGCCCCCCGCCCCCAGGGGAGCAGCTCTCGGAAAAGTCATTAAGCTAAATTAAGCTAATGAAATGGAGAGCTCCAGGCTGGTACGGGCTCCCTCTGCAGGCACCTGCAGCCCGGCAGCACCCGGGGGCTGCCTGGGCTGGGCAACCTGTCCGGGATGCTCTGCGGGTGCCTGGGAGGGGGCATCTGAGGTGCCTGGGTGCAGGTGCGATGTTTTGGGGGGATTTGGGGTGCCTGCAGCCCGGAGGGGCYGGGCTGGCCTTGCCTCGGCAGAAGGCACCGCTGCAGGGACAGAAGGGAGAGGCGGGGACGGGGACGGGGTCCCCTCTTGTTAACAAGGCCGGGCTCTGTAGCCTTTTCAAGGCTCTGAATGGGGGGTGGTGCTGCTCCTCCCCGCAGTTTGGGCCTTGGGGGGTGTCGTGGGTGCTTCAGCACAGCCAGACAGCGCCGGCTGCTGGGGGCAACCCCAGATGGGAGCGTGTGGGGGTTTCCCCTGCCTCCCGCCCACCATTCGCATGGAAATGAGGACAAATTGATGCAGACACGTCCATTGTGGTGCCGCCAGCAGCCGGGCCCTTCTGCTGGCCACCCACGGCAGGGCCATCCATCACCACCCGCCCGCTGGGGACGGGCAATGGGACAGGCCCTGGTGGGACATCTCCCCGGGACGGGCAATGGGACAGGCCCTGGTGGGACATCCACCGGCCACCTGCAGGACTGGCTGCTTCAGGTGGCTGCAGGGGAGACCCTCGTCCTGGGGAGGGAGACTCTCCCCTGAGCCCTGCCTTGCCTGGCATCATTTTGTCCTCACTACCCTCTGATGGGGTTTGCAGGGCTATGGGGGAGCTAATGGAGCCCAGAAGCTCTTCTGTGGGTCCTTCATTCCTCGAACCAGTCCAGAGCCAGGACACCCTTTTCCCTTCTTCTATCCCCAAACAGCCCTCGGTGCCCTGCAGCAACCTCCTAACAGGACAAAGACCTGCCCCATGCTCAGCGACACCCCAAAGCCTGGGCTTGGGCACGGGTGCCTCATGGCACTGTAGGACACCCCCAAAGGGCACAACTTCTCCCCAATGCCCAGCCATCAYGCAGGGGGCCTGGGGCTGGGATTTGGAGGGGACAGCGGCGCTCTGCTCCGCTCCGTGGCACACAGCCCTGCAGCTGGTGCCACCGAGTGGCCAGGGGACATGTCCCGAGCTGCCGGGACCCTGCCCGGCCCCAGCATCCCCTCCGGACGGAGCCCACGGCGGCCGCAGCCTCATTGAAATTTCACTCCATAAAGCGCCTCTCCAAGGCCTGACCCCGTGCTCCCCCGAGGGACCAATTTGTCCTTCCCAGTAATAAGAACCTAATTAAATTAGCCAAGCCGCCTCCCAGAGCCCTTAAATTAGCCACAGTGACGAAGGCCCTTACTGACAACTGCTGCTGGGTTGCACCAGTGTTCAGGGTTTGGGGAAGACCCTGGGGTGCTCCTGGAAAGGAGGCAGGGTCGCTGGTGACGGGGTGCACAGCGGGAACAAGGCACAGGGCACACATGGAGCAGTGCGGGTGCTGGAGGGGGCCTCCCGCAGGAGCACAGGACACAGACAGGGAGATGGAGCGGAAGGGGTGCAGGATTGGCTTGGGATGGGAGATGGAWGCAGGGGTGGCACTGGAAACCCAACAGGTGGGGTCCATCCCAGCCGGGAGCGCTGAGTGTGGCCGTTGAGGTGATGAAGAGTCTCTCAGTGGAAGATGGCATCGGGGTGCCCAAATCCTGCCCCAAGAGAAGAGCCTATATTTGTGCCCATGGCTGTATCCTAGGGACCCCCCACCTCGTTCTCGGTCCCCCTCAGCAGAGCTCAGAGCACTCACCTGGGAGAAGATAGATTTATTGGGCCGTGTCCCCGACCGGGAAAGATACATCCAGTGAAGAGACAAAAAATACACCTGTCCTCGGCCGCGCTCACACTCTCACCTTGCCTTGCGGACAACAATCACTGTAAAAACTGTGCTTTAAAATAATCTTTAAATAATTTCTGCTTTTCTTTCCTTTTTTAAAAAAAAAGTCCCCCTCCCCGCAACAGAGCAGCTCCCCCACCCCACCCGCGCCCCTCGCCCTGCGCGCGCCCACGGTGCCTCTCGGCCAAGGAACATACAAAGAGCAGATAAATAAATAAAGACACGTGATGCTGCAGGGGGGACGTGGGTCACAACCCGCCCCCCTCGGCCCCCCAGCTCTGCTAACGTGGAGCCAGGGCGGGCTGAGGCTTAGCGAGGGCTTGCTGGGGAGGCCGCAGCTCTGCGGGGACCCCCGTGGGCCCTGGCACCGGCTGAGCAGCACGAGTTACCCTGAGGGTTCGGGGGGCCGGGGAGGGTAGGTTGGGTCAGGCAGGRCCCTGGTCCAGTGCCTGGGGTGTATCCATCAGCTTTGGGGTGCAAAAAGCACAGAATTGGGGCTGGTGCACCTCAGGGCTGGATGTGGCGAAGGCAGGAGAGGAAGCAGGGCCTCCCTGGCCGCTTTTCCCTCGGGGAGGCAAAGCTTGGGTCGTGTTTTCCAGCCTCGCCACTGTGCTTCCACGGGCACTGGCACCACAGAGCCCCAGGTCTGTGCTGGAGTGATGCGGGTTCCCTGGCGTTACCTGTGCYGGGCACCGCGGGCAGAACAGGGCTCTGCACCCGCTCTCCAGGCTCGGCACCAGCATCACCCCCTCCAAGGGGCTGCCTCATCCCAGGCTGGGAAGGGCATCGCGCTCCACATGCCGTGGCTGCCCAGCACGGTGTCCCGGGCTCCTGTCCGAACCCCCGTGGCCGTGCAGACACCTGCAGCCACGGGAGCTCCCCGAGGGCGCCGCCGCCCGCGCTCCCGGCGTTCCCGGAGCGCAGCCGGCAGCTACGTCCGCACACGCACACGCTCCTCACGCACACACACTCACACAAATAGCAGCATGTGGACCCAGCTGGAGGCCCCCGCGGGCCCGGGGAGCGCCCGGCGCCGGGCGGGCAGAGCGGGCAGCTGCTGCGAGCGGCACCGCGGGCTCCCGCGGCGCCCGGCCTCAGCTCTCCGCGCCCAGCGGGTGGAAGCTGTCCGGCGGCAGCAGCAGCCTGCCCACGCGGTAGAGCAGCCCCGAGTACCAGTGCACGCCGTCCGCCTGCGCCTCGGGCCACCCCACGAGGCTGTGGTAGAGCCGCAGCGGCCAGAAGGCCAGCTGTGCCAGCTGTTGCTCCTGCACCAGGGCGAAGCACGAGGCCACCACGTCGTCCACCACCAGCGTGCCATGGCGCGTCAGCGGCGCGTACGCCCCYACGTCCGTCCGGCCCCGCACGGCCACCACCTCGGCGGGCTGCAAGCCGGCTGCCCCCGCGGCCACCAGCACAAAGTGTCCCGGGCGCACGCGGCTGGCGAAGGTGGGGCGGAAGCGGGCGGCGGGCGCCGTGCCGTTCTCGGCCACGAAGAGCAGGTGGGTGGGCGTCAGGGTGAGGCGCCGCGGCGGCTCCCGCGTCTCGATGACATGGAAGGCGGTGAGGGCGTGCGGCTGCTTGTCCAGGAAGGCCAGGAAGTCACTGTAGGTGGGCCGGCCCGCACCGTCCATGGCCAGCACCCGCTGGCCCGGGCGCAGCGCCCGCAGCGGCGTCCGGGCACCGTTCTCCAGCGTCGCCAGCGCCTGCCCTGGGAAGCAGCCACCTGTCTTGGCRGCGGCTGAGTGCTCTGCGTGGGGAAAGAGAGGACAGGAGGGTTACTTGGATGCACCTCCACATGCATGGGATGCAACCCCAGCACCCCCACCAAGACTGCCCGGCTGTGCCCACCCTAGCTGGACACGCAGGGAATAGCCCTGCTCCAGCATCACCAATGKGCCCGGCTCTGCTGCACGCACTGCCAGTCCCCGCGCCAACACTGCCTCCCGCAGCACTGCCAGCGGGTGCCTCTTGGGGGTCCCTCCTTCCCAGGAATGCCACTCCTGCCAGCGCAGGGAGCACCCCGGGAGCACCATGGCTGCGTGTCCTCTGCAGTATCGCAGGGAGGATGCTGCAAAGCGTGGCCCCAGGGGAGCCCCCGGCACCCGCGTCCCCCCTGTGCTGCTGCTGCCCGCAATCCCTGCTCCTCTCTGCCTGCACATCCCGGCCCTCCCTGGAGCGCTGCTGCCGGCCAAGCCCCTCGCTGAGATGCACAGCGGCCCGTGGTCACCACCAGGCAGAAGCCACCAGCCCCTGGCTGGGCTTTGCCAGCAGTGGCCACCAGATGATGCACCCAGGCACCCTGGTGTTGTCAGGTGGCTGGGGCACATCCTGCTTCCCGTGCCCCTATCTGATGAGCCCCCCTGGCCTGCCGGGGCATCTCCGCTTGCCCGGGCTCCCTGCTCCCTGCGCCGCCCCAGCCCTTCCCGGGGCTCCTCGCCCTAAGGTGCCACCCAAGTCACRGCCTCCCTGTGGAGAGAACCCCCCAAGGTAGAGCTACGGAGGGTCAGAGCATCGCACTGCCCCCCATCGCGCCCCGGTTTCGGGCAGAGCCAGGTCCCAGCCCACGACCGCATGAAAAGAAGCCTGCAGCTTCAGGACAGAATCGTTTTATTGCTCAGACGAGGTGCAACGTCAGCCCCATCCCTGCCCTGACACGTCCCAAATCCTGCGCCCCCTTCCCCGGCGGAGGCAGAGCCGTGGGGCAGGGCGGGCAGGAGGGAGAAAGGGGTACCCAGCAGGAGCAGGGGCACCAGCACCGGCACGAAGGGCTGTGTGGGTGCAGGGGGGACCCGAGGAGACGCAATACATACAACAGGCCACGCGGCCATCCATACAAAAATAAAAGCCATTTACTAAGAGGCAGGGGCAGCCCGGCTGCCCTCTGAACACAGCTCTGAGGGGGGCCAGGAGATGAGCCCCACAGCCCTTTCCAGCCTCCAGCACAGCTCCCCATGGCCGCAGGGGCAGGAATGGGGTGCAGAGCCCTGGGCAGCTTGCGAAGCCCTCAGAGACCCTGTCTGCCATGTGAGACGTGGCTGCTCTCTTCAGTGAGTCCAGGGAAGCCGCTCAGGATTGAAGAGCCTTGGTCCTTATCCGGGGCTCAGCCCCACTCCTCTGGCTGCCCCCAGGGCGCTGGGGTCTTGCTCCTTGCTTTGGGGCCCGGCCCCTCTCCTCTGGCCCTTGGCTTTGTCCCTCTTCTTCGGGGGCGCGTCGCTCCCTCTCCGCGGCGCGGTGGCCCCACGTCCATTGCGGGCCGGAGTTGTGCCCGTCCTGGCATCGGCACAGGGAAGCGGGTCAGCGCGGGGGCCCGGGCTGCCGTCTGGGGGCGTCAGGCCGCTGGCTGCGGGCTATGGTGGTGGGACAGGCAGAGCGCGGTGGGAGCGGAGCCGGGCACCGCGCGCAGGACGCTGGGGCGAGGGGTGCTGGGCTGCAGCGAGCCCGGGAACACCCAGCACCGGGGCCGCTCCGGCCTCCCCAGCCCGGGACACGTCCGCGCAGCCCTGGCAGCAGGCTGCAGTGCAAGGAGCCCTGCGGTGCAGGCTGGCGTGTGCGTGCACACGCGTGTGCAGCCCTCTCGCCGTGTGCATGCACACGTGTCCTGTGCATGCAGGCGGGTCTGCGCTCAGCTGCAGCCCTCGTGGCACACGTGCCCACGGACCAGCTTGCCCTGGTGTGTGTCTGAGCGTGCATGGCTGTGCRAAAGCACCCCAGCCTCCCTGCAAGCGTCCGTGCACACAGGTGGCCCTCTCCTGGCGTGTCCCCGCCTGTGCACACACGTGTCCCCGCGCGTCCGTGTGCCGAGCGCGTGCTGCCCTCTACCGCACACGGCCAGCGTGGCTGCCCGGACGCCTGGGCCCTCGCTGCTGCATCCTCTGCGCAGAGGGGTCCGTGCCCGGGGAGCTGCGCAGGGCCCTTGGCTGGGGCAGCCGGGGAGTGTCCRAGCCCAGAGCCAGGCACAGCCTCTGCCCTGGCCGGGGAGGTCCCTGGCGCCGGAGCAGGTAGCCAGAGCTGGGCACATGCAGCTCTGGCAGCGGGAGCTCAGGAGCACCCCGTGACGGAGCCGGGCAGGYCTGCAATGTGTGCAGGGGACCGGGGGACTGAAAGGACAGGGGCAGGGGCAACATCTGGCCCATGGAAAAAGGGGCAGAGGTGGCGTGGGAAGAGGAGTGAGGTAGAGAGGGTGGTTCCGCATACAGGTCTGTGGGAGAGGACAGGAGAATTTGCCCCATGGCACTGCCAGTCGCAGGCGAATGAGTCACTGCCCGCTGCGACTGCCTGGCCCAGACAGGGCAGTGAGGCTGCAGAGGCCAGCACCGCACGGGGAGCACCCTGCCCGGCCCCCCGGCCCCCCGGCCCCCCGGCCGCCCCTCCTGCCCTTACCTGACTTGACGGAGCAGTGGATGTGCGCCTTGGACTCGTAGTAGACCCAGTCGAAGCCCGCCTCCACGGCCAGGCGGGCCAGCATGCCGTACTTGTTGCGGTCCCGGTCCGAGGTCGTGATGTCCACGGCTCGGCCCTCGTAATGCAGCGACTCCTCCGAGTGGTGCCCGTCCTCGTCCCAGCCCTCCGTCACCCGCAGCTTCACCCCCGGCCACTGGTTCATGACRGAGATGGCGAGGGAGTTCAAGCGGTCCTTGCAGCGCTGCGGGCCAGAGGGGCAGGGTCAGTAAATCTTTGCGGGGATCRGGAGGAATTTTGGTTTGCAGGCTGTGCCCTGCCACACTTCCACATAGCCAAGGAAGAGGGAACAGTGTGAGGAGCAGCCGACTAGATCTCCCGCAAACGAGGGACTCCTGCCTTCCTCAGGTGCATCCTACCACCTCCATCCAGTCCCTGCCAGTCTCCTTTGGTCAAACAGATCTGTCTGTCACTCCTGTCCCATCTCCAAGTCCTTCCCCTAAACCAGCCTCCATCTTCTGGTCCTCAGACCCTTCGGGGTCTGCCTGCACAGAGAAAGAGCCCTAGTGTTATCCCAGATCCTAGTTCATGAAATGCTCTCTCCATCCCATACTCTCCAGATGTCCCACAGTGATGCCCAGCATTCCCACACTCACTCAGCATCTCCCAAGCACTCACACCCCACGTTCTTCCCCATCTCTCCTCCATTTCTAAGCTCACAGAGGGGATCRTTAGGATGTACAACCTCTTCCAGGATGTCCCAGGATGGAAAACCCTCTTGGCTCCCAGGACAACTCCCCTGCGCTAGTGCTGCCTGGGAGGCTTCAGCTCACAAGAGGGGCTGGCAGGAGCCAAGATCCTGCTGCTGTYCCAGGTCCTCAGCAGAGGGATGCCMTGCACCCTGTCTCCAGCCCCCCATAGCACCCCAACCCCAGCTCCCTCCAGAGCYGGGCACCCTGCAGGCTCCCCTAGCAGCCACTGATCTGGATGGAGGGCACTGCTTCCCAGCACAAGTGAAACAACCCCTCAGGCCTCAGCACACCCTTGCTAGGCACCTCTCCTTAGGTTGCTTCTGCGTCCACAGGGGCACAGCACCTGGGCAAGCCTCATAGTCCCAGCCGCTCTCTGCTCACGTGGGAAATGCCATGCTCTCCCTGGAGCTCTGTTGTGCTRGAGAAGGGCTGCCCTGGGACCAACTCCCTCCACCTCTCCCACTCCTGGGTGCTAGTTCCTGTGGATGCCTCACTGCAAAGCCGGGACAGAAATGCCAGCAGGTCCCCAAGCCCAGGCTTGCTGACCAGAGAGGTCCCCAGAGACCCCTTTGGAGAAGCTGACCACCCTGCTGGCTGCTGCAGCCTCCCGCACCCAGGCCTGAACCTCTGTGCAAGCACCTCCAAACATCACCCCTGCCCAGAGCAGCAGCTCCAGCCACAGCTGCAGCTCAGGGCAAGACCAAGCCTGGTGCAATCTCATGAAAGCCCCAAGCCTGGTTTGTGCGACTGTCTGCACTTCTGTTTCTTTCCTTTTTCTTTCTTTTTTTTTTTTTTTTTTTTTTTCTCTCACTGTGGAAGGGATGGAGGAAAGGTAGAAAATGCCAGAACAGGCCTCACAGAATGGTAAGAGGTTGAACAGCTTCTAGACCAAAGCATGCAAAAGGACTAGGACTGGAGATCCTGGAAAGGAGATGGTCAGGGGAGAGGCACAAGAGAGCTCTACAAAATCACAGAGACACCGAGCACTCCTCCTCTTGCACGATGCCAGCCCCGGGAAAGGTTAAATAAAGCTACAGGGCTGCAGATTAGGAGCAAGCCGCGTGGAGGATGTTCCGSGAGGTCAGTAGTGATGCCATGGGACTCCCTGGCACAGGACGTCACACCAGCCAGCACCAGAAGTGGGTCACAGGGCACTGAGACGCAGTTGCAGAGAGAACGAGGCAGGGCTATAAAACCCGACAGCTGTAAAAAAGCCCGGCTCAGAAAAGCCTGAGTGCTGCTTGGAAAGGCTCTGCTTGCAGGGAGGCTCCCCTCCAAACAAACTGGCTCGTGCCCTGTCCCCCAGCACCAGCTCGTGCCCCGGGGAGCCGGGTGCTGGCACTGCCAGCCCCCCCGATCTCTGGGAGCCCCACGGCGCACGTAGCCCGGCGGGGCCCCGGGGAGTGCAGTGCCAGGCAGGCCTTTGCCCTGGAGCACCCCTGCCCTTGTCCCTCCCCAGCCACGGCTCCTTGGGTGCGGGGAGATAAGCCAGGAAGGTGTTGGATAAACAGCGCCTTGGGGAGGGCAGGAGGAGGGAGGGGAGCGACTTTTGTCCTCATGAAAACACCAGTGTGGTGCCGCTTGGCACATGGCACAAGAAGGCTCCCAAGGTCCTGTTCCCAATGAGAAGGGCAGCAAGGGAGGGCAGGAGACTGCGAAGCAGGTCCGCCAGTGGGCCCCATGGGTGTCCCATGGGTGCATGTACAGCCAGCTGCACAGCCACCTCCGGGATGGGACTCTGGGCTTTCCCTCTCTGCTCCCGGAGCAGCTGCTCCGGACCCTGCTCTGCCCTCCCTGCCAAGCTGACACCCTCCCAGGGCACCCTGCCTGGCACAGCCCCAGCCCCAGAGACCCCCAAGAGACCCTCACCCTCGCTTCTCCGTGCCAGGGCCTCCTCCGGTCACCAGCCCAGGGAAGGGCCGTGCTGTCCTGGGCAGAGCCACCACTGCTGCCCCGATGTGGCTCGCGCCTCCCCCGGGGCAGCCCCGGAGCCCCTGCCCCGCCGGCCGAGGGGCGGCCGGGAGCCCCCCGCAGCTGCGGGCGCGGGGCCCTGCCTGTGCCCGCGGTGGCCAGCAGGTGTCAGGGCACGGGMGGGGACAGCGGGAGTGACACCGGGGTCTTCTGTCCCCGAGAGGCGCACGAGGACCAGGGTAGTGATGGGGCTGGGATGTAGGAGCTGGGCTCAGCAAGGCGGTGCTGCCTGGTGGCTGCTGTCACCCCAGCACTGCTCCTGGGCCTGGCCAGGTGGAGAGCAAGGCTGAGCCCCACAGACAGGCACACCACAGAGCTTGGCGTGTGCGGGGTGACACGGTGAGAGGGGGGCGCACAGCCTGTCGCTGTACCATCACAGGTAGCCACACCCCTGGACCATGCTGAGCTTGGTGGCTTTGCACTGTCCCACTGCAGAACATGTCCCTCCCTCAGCCCATGCACAGCCAGCTGGGGACAGGAGCCTGCAGACCCTCCAGAGCAGCATGTCACAGCAGAGGTGCTGGGACATGCTCCCACTGATAGACCTASTTCATGCCATGCTCATGCCCAGGTACTGCTACAAGAGTGCACAGATCCAAGACAGGACCCAGACCCTGTAGGGACCCTGAGGCCCTCACAGGGAGGTGCAGAGCTCACTCAGGTGTGACCAAGTTCTCTGCTTAGAGGCTGCTGGGGTTGTGGTTGRGAATGTGCTTGGCCATGGCCAGGAGCAAAGAGGGACACCCAGCATCTCCCACCCAGGTGAGGTCTCTCCTAAACTGGATCTCAGTCCCCAGAGGAGGGGACAAGGTCCCTGTGAGCAATTCCTCACCACCAGGACRTCATGTCTCCACACCAGTTAATCCTATGCTGGCTGCAAGGGGGGACAACTGGGGGTAGGGAGAGGCTGGGGACTGGGACTCTGTGGGGGCAGGGGACTGGGGACATTCCTGGGCCAGGCTGCTGGGGAGAGGTGAGGCGGGCTCTGCCTCCAGCCTTATCTCAGCACCTCCGAGTGGGACCAGCAAGAGCAAACACACTGGAATTCTTGAGGAAGATGAAACGATAAAGGAAGGTGGGCAGAGAGTAGAGCTCCCCCCCGCCTCAAGGTAGGAGGCATCTTCCGGCTCTATGGGACACCCAGACCCTTGGACTTGGGGAAAAAAAAACAGGTTTGAAGTGAGTCAACGGCAGTAAAAGCCAGCGCACTGGGGGAAGGGAGAGGGAGTTGGGTCAATGGCCTTTCCCAGCTTCTGTCTGCACACAGGCATGGTGGAGCCAGGGCTCCATGCCTTGGGACATGTCCCATAGTGAGGGGCCACCAGTCAAGCCCAGGGGGCCCTGGGAGAGTGTGAGCAAMCAGAAATTATGCCAGGGAGCTTCCTGGAGCCCCTGCCCACAAGGCTGTGAGACAGCAAGTAGCGCAGGGCTGGCAGGTGGGATGCAGAGCCCTCCCTCTCCCGTGGTGCCGCTGGGAGCGTCACCTGGGGARGACAGGCAGTGGCAGCGCTGTCAGAAACAAACACAGGTAAGGAGCACTTCTGCCTCCGAGCAATGCGATGCCTCCGCTTCCCCGGTGGGCGGACCAGCCGAGCACACCACTTCCTCACCATCCTTGGACACGAGGCCATTCCCCTGGGCACGCAGGCTCCAGCCCAGCCCCAGAGCCCTAGTGACCAGCAAGCACAACCCAGGCAATGCTCTGGGGTTGGTACTGCCTCATGGGGGAACCTTGGACCCCTCTCTGCAGTCCCCAGCCTGAGCTTCATCCTGGGCCACAGGCCCCTGCCCCTGGGGAGCTGCCCCCGGGGCATGTGGGGTTACCGAGTTGTCAAGCCAGCACCTAAGCCACTTCCTGGCTTCCTTGTGTTGTTACCAACACCTCGGCCAGAGTCCACAACCAGAGCCTCACTCCCCACCTGCAGCCACGACCATGCCACACTCACCCACCCACTGGCCCCAAAGCAGGGCATGCGGTGGCCCAGAGGCAGCCCAGGCTCCCCCTGCCTCCCCCAGGAGTTTCCTCGGGCTGTAACCCAGTGTTGAGGCTGGTGGCCAGGTTTCTTAGCAAGGCCGTGTGGCTCCTTATCTGCATTCCTGAAACCCTCAGGCATTCTCCTGGCAATATTAAAACACAGAGTAACCTTCGTCCAGCATCACCACCCCCCCGCTGCCGTCGTCTGTCCCCCCTCCACCCCCCTTCCTGCTGGCCCCGGGCTCTCRTAGGCTGCCTGACACAGGACTCCAGCAGCAGCAGGTTGTCTCCTTCCCCACATGGGGCAAGCGGAGGGCAGCCCCCTGCCAAGCACTCCTCACTGTCCCCCCTGGAGGCACATGGAAGAGAAGGCACTAAGGAATGGCAGGGAAAGGGTGGGACAGAAACAAACATGTACTCCTGGACCAGGCTTGCTGCACTGCCCGCTATCCTTCTGCACCAGCCTGCAGGCCCTGCTGTGTCCCTGGTCCCCAGCGGGCAYGGCTGTCCCCTGGCACCGGGGCACGAGAGCAGGACGGGGGCAGTAGGACAGCGAAGCGCCCAGCGCAGCCGCGGGGGGAAGAGCTTTGCTGCGGCCGGGGGAGGGAGCCGGGGTGTCCCCATGCGCGGCCCCGGCCGGCCGGGTACCGCGCGGCTCCGCAGCCCGCCGGGCACCGGGGCCCCCACGCAGGTGCCCGGTGGCGGCGGGGAGGAGCGGGGCGGCGGCGGGGCCGTACCTGGGTCATGAGGCGATCAGCGCCCGTGTTCTCCTCGTCCTTGAAGATGATGTCGGGGTTGTAGTTGGGCGTGAGCTCCTTGAAGCGCTCCGAGTTGCGCGCGATCTTGCCCTCGTAGCGGCCGCTCGCCCCCAGCGTCTTCTCGGGCACGTTGGGGCTGAACTGCTTGTAGGCGAGCGGGATGAGCTTGCGGGGCGGGCGGCGGCGGCTGCCCACCACCCTGCCCGGCCCGCAGCCGCGCACGGCCGGCGCCAGCAGCAGCGCGCACCCGCTCAGCAGCAGCAGCAGCCGCGCCGGCTTCATGGCGCGCCCGGCAGCC